TTTTTTTTTGTGGAGCTACTGTGTGCCACTTATTATATTTCCCGTAAAGAACTGACTTGCCATAAAGTCACGAGAGTTATTACAAAGCGTAAATTTAATATGAAATATAATATCTTGGAGAAATTAATGCCTTCTAAAACGTGGATCAAAACAGCCAGGTATTCTTTTCGGTATTTGTGTGATTGCTTCGCATCCTTGGTTTAATCTTGATTTGAGATGTCTAAAATAAAACAAGAAAAGAGAGAGAAAAAATAGGAAATGCAGCAATACTCTTATCTCATCGCGACACAAAGTTATGTAGTTTACATACATTTATAACAAGCAGTATCTGAAATGCTTGAAACTTACCGGCTTGCAACAGTTTGCACTACACTACGACCTTTTCTAGGAGTTCCTGTCAAAGTGATCACACATGGAGGTTCAATAATGTCATCGATGATGGTGCTTGAATAACGTGGAGGTATTTTAGGCCAAGATGGATCGGAAGGAATTCTAATATCAAGGATATGATGGTAAACAAAAAGTGAACAAGATCTTATTTACTCTTACCACCGACGAGATACTATTAAAAACAATCAACCCTGGCCAAATTTTCGGCGGTATAAAAAGAGTCCCAAGGGCACGGAGGTAATTGAAAAACGCTGACATTATCGACAATTGATATAAATTTGCTATTATTAATATAAATATTTGACTAATACATTATTAAATTCATGATTTTTTATTACATAAATGCTCCATAAATAAATATGCATATTTGTAAAGCTGTATCCTATATATTGCCAAAAAATTACAATTTTTTCTTTACAGCTATCATTTCTGTTAACAGTCAAACTTTGACGATAACACTAAAATCACAATTTTAAAGAAAAATCGAGTATTATTGATTCTAAATGCATAAATACGCCTACTAAACTAATAAAAGCCTAATAAATCATAAAATTAGTACAATATTAGTACATTATCAGTTTTTAACTTTTAATTACTTCTATATTTACAAGGACGCAAACTCCTATAAGGATGTCGATGTTTAATGGGTATCTCGTCGGTGCTCTTACTCAATGTAATAGTATGCATAATTATATACCGTAACGTGCCGATATTATACTTTTCTGAAATTGCTGATAAATTTTGTCCATTTACTAAAAACGTAACAGATATTAAAATCATATGTACTATTGTTTCTGTACGATTTTCTATAATATTTTCTTACCTTTTATGTGCAATTCAAGTGTATTTGTTTGATTATCGCGTGCCATGTCGCGAATGTTAGTATAATTGTGAATATTTCAAGTCCTATATTGCGCTATTTCAGAAAATCAGAACTTGATACATTAGCCTAAAAGGTTGTATGAGGCACGATTGTGTCAATTACATGTTTCTTCTCATCATTCGAATGCCGTTTTTTATACAACTGAATTATAAATTTTGTTTGTCGAGATTCACTTGTCTTGGAATTATTTTTTCTTATTACCGCGTAAACGTAGATATATAAATGAAATTGTTAAGGATTATACTTTATTATCACATAATTTTTATATAATATGTATACAACTTTAAATTTAACTTTAGAACATAATATTTACACTGAATATACAATAGACATAGTTATAGCCAGTCTTGGATTTCGATAAAGAGAGAAAATGTTGAAACATTTTTTTCTTAATTTTGAATACAAGAACAATTTCGAACATCATCCGAACATTAGCAATGTTTCTTATGATGGAATCAGATTCCACCTCTCTATAATGGACATAAAAGCGAAAAATACCTTTCGCTTTCGATTGATGTGCGACCTCAACGCACACATTTCAAGTCTGGTTATAACATTACAGGAACGATCAATTACTATTTACTCGAAATTCTCTTAATAGATCGCATTATACTATAGTCTAAGATATATTTACGCAACATTATTATTTATTGTTATATCACATCACATCATTAATTTAACATTGCAACTGCCCTTCCCTTTGATCTTTTTATTTACTTTTTTCGTCAAAGATGTTGCTTTCTTACAAATATGTTTTCTCTTTGAAATATGTGTGTATTCTTTGTCTTTTTACACAAATTACCCCGCTGCTCAAATTGTCCCAATGCTGTACTCTAGCGTAGATATATATGCATACAATTTTTAAAGACATTTTACACAAAGTCAGAAATTGTAACATTTTTAATAAAAATACGACGTAGCGTAATGCGCCGCTTAATTGAATGAGATCAGTCGAGATGTATATCAATTCTTCAAAAGGATATGAACGTTTCGATTTCCAATCGTGTACCGTGAATAAGAGATGTGAAGTTTAAGTTTTATGACTACGGTGGGACAGCACATAAGTGTACCATATTCCATCTCACAAATTTTACGCGTCCATTTTTTCGAATAATTAACAAATCTGTTACATAATTTTAAAATCAGTAAACATTTTACATCGCAGTTTACGATACTCATTTTATTTGTGTATTTTATCTACAGCTTGTTAATATTTGAACACATAGTGATAAAACTTGTGCGTATCGAAGCGGAAGAAAAATTAAACATAAATCATTTCAGTTGTAACAACCGAATTAAATCCCGAAATTAAATCATGTTTAGTAGCGGAATGTGAGCCGAATGGAGATGTGTCATGACTAGACTAGACATTTGAAATGTAAATGAATCATTGTTCTCGCCGAATATATAAAACTTTGATCTCATGTTATTGAGTTTCTACTCTCTATGAATGAGTACTTACTCTTCATTTTACTATCATCAAATTTTTATTGGTCCAAAGCTTTATAGCACTCTCTTTCCTCACTATGTAATCCTTAGTAAAACTATCTCATTTATAATACTTCGTCTAAAATCAGCCAAATACTAAAAATAATAAGTACAGAACGCACTGGTGCTCCGTTATGAAAACGTTACTTTTAGTACGTAGCAGAGTGCCATTTGCCTTTGTTAATAAGTTATTCATTCATTAATCATCGTGTTATAAAGCTTTAATAGCATAAAAAATATTACGTTTAGTGAAAAGTAGTCTTATGAAGGAATATTTCTTTGATTTTCATTAACTCTCTATTATATATAGTATATACAGATTTTGGTAAAGACACTGAATTTCTGGTTCTTTGCGAATCCAGTTATAGGATAAGATATAACGCAAGATCCAAAAGACGCATAGTCTCGAAATAACAATTATTATGTTATTACCAGATCTTGGTGGCACAGTTTATGAAAGCCACATTCATTTGCAGAATAAATTGGTAAGAAATGTAAAAAGAGGTAGCTTCAGAAATGCATAATGAGCTCGAACAAATAAAGCATGTTAATTGCGTTCGTCGTAAATTGACTCGCAATCGTTATTGTCCGGCAGTAATATCATTTTGTGATGTTAGTATGAAATAAAGCGATACATTCGCGTAGAAAAAGTAAGAGACTCTGTGATAATCATTATTGCACACAATAAGATATAAAACTTAAGACGATTTAAATGAAAGTGGGTATTTACGGCCGATAGAGGCACGTACTTACTGAGAAATGTGTGCTTGTTAATTAAGATGTCATTACAATGATGTATGTAACCCACACGAATGTTTTATTTTCAATTCTCTCATTATTGTCTTGTTAAGCTTCATGATCACCACTGTCTATTCCTATTAAAGATTCCGTTTGCTCTGCTTCAAGATCTGGGATCCTGAAAATATTGATTTCTCATTTTATGGTGTGTATGTATGTGTAATACGTATATGTTACGATATTATAACTCTAGTCACTTTATATTGTTATTCTGATTTATATAATATTTATATCATACATGTAATGCATACTTTACCTTGTAGATCTGTTGTTTTTTCTGCATATCCAGATGAAAAATCTTTTAATTAAATCCATAACAGGATCCCAATTGTCGTAATAAGATAAAAGAGATACTGTCAGGAATGCTAAAAGCATTGGAATACTTCCTAAATAGAAAATACAAGGGTATTCAACTTTTTTCAAGAGGACATCGGCTACCATTGACATGGGCATTGTTAAGCTTACAGCCATTGTTGCTACGAGAGATGATGTCAAAAAACAACCCCTGTAGATACAATAGAATGCAATCACGTTACATAAAAGTGCAAAAGTTGTTATTATTATTACCGTATGTATGACAACACGTTGAATTGTATTGAAATTACCATAGCCAAAGAACTTGGCTCAGAACAGTACCAATTAGACCGTTTATAATTAGAAATGTCCACTGGTGGCTATTGGGCCATTCAAACTCTTCCCAATGACCATAATGAAGAATGAAGAATAAAGGCCACAGAAGTGTTAAATTGAATATTCCCACAAAGCCAAAAAACATTGGTATATCCATCTTGTCTTCGTGATCTACTTTTCTTTTTAAAAATACAATGTATGCAGCATAGAAAAAAGCACTGACTAGAGCTAATATTATGCCCGTTGACATATTATTACTTTCTATAGTTAAATCCGAAATACCGACCAGTACCTACAAGTAAAGAAAATGTTTTTTAACATATATCGCATGATGTCTAAACGCGTGCATATTTTCTATTCTTTGTATTCAAAAGGAAATGTGAACGTTTACGTTATATGTTCTGCTTAAGAATTATTTTGTTTAACTGTATTTGCGAATTTAATTTGCGTGAGTAAACTTGCAACTTACCAGTCCGAAAATACTAACTATCACAGCAGCTAATTTGGACAGCGTAAATTTGTCTCCTCCATTACTGGGAAAAGAAGCAGCAAGAAATAAAGTGAATAAACTGGACGTTGAAGACAATACAGTAACAATTCTAGCTGGGGTTTGCTCCAATGACATCTGGTATGTATAATTTGCCATGAACCACTGGAAGACAGTACCGATAACACGTAATGTCGAGAGAATAACGCGTGATTGAATTTCACATTGTTACTTACAAATAAGCAAAACATAAGAGCTATCTTAGCCACTTTTTGTACAGAGAATTTGTTAGCTTGTCGTCTCGCTTGTTCTCCAGCTCTGACACTGGCTTGATAACTAAGTCGTGCCAATAAAGCCTCGGTGGCATCACTTTCGGACATATGGCGCACTTCCGCCAGTTTGCTGAATCGTACAGAGCGAATAGACGAATCGTCACTTTCTGTTCCTGATGAACGATCACAATGATCCGGTGTTTTTATTGGAACAAACGTTGGATCACTCTATGATAAAATGAGTAATTATTATTAGATTAATAATGAAACGGGAAAATCTTCTATTTCACACGTATGACGTGCATACACAAAAAAAAGGTCTAGTAATAATTACCAAATCTTAAGTGAAATCATTTACAATCAAGTCTTTGATCAATATAACTAAAAATAATTTTACTTTTCTACATATTTAGTAAGTATTAACAAATGATTAATTATATTACTATATTTGCGGTAATACTAAATATTTAGAAAAGTAAAATTATTTTTAATTGATTAAATATTTAATTGGAATTATATTACTCGATATTTGATAGCTATCAATTTTTTTTTCAATGTATAGAATAGATCAGTGTTCGTTACATCAATAGAATATTTTTTAACATTTTTCCAAAGCAATTTACTTAAAAAGCATCTAGATTAGATCCAATGCATATGATATTTTGCATTATCATTAACATATAATAAACATATTACGACGCACAGATCTCTCAATTCTAATAATTTCTTTCACACATACACACGCACACATACTTACGAGACTTGTATTAGCCTCCGAATAAAAGTTATCATCTTCAACATTAGGATCTATAAACTAAAAGAAAGTAAAATATATCAGAATCTGTGAGATGTACAAATGGAGAGAAAAAAAAGAATGTGTTTTGTGCAATTTCAATAAATACCATATATGTTGCAGGCTTATTACATTGTTCCCGCCAGGGTGGCCAAAAGCACAGGCCAAGCAAATAAAATGTAAACATAGATGTTCTTACATATGTACTAAAAAATGGCCTTTCAAACGTTTCATCCCTGTAGATGTACTGAAATAATATATATTATACCACTATGATTTCTATTATAATTGTATATATAAGAAAAATTTTCAATGTATCTAATTATCGATTACACCGATAATTGCAAGTGACAAATATTGGTAAATAAGCTAATTGTAATATATTTGTGGAGAAGACAAAAGATACGGAAAGTTTGATCTTACTTTGGTAAGCTCAGAACTGGAAACCCAAATTATATCGACCAGCAATAGAACTAAAAGTCCTAGTACAAGTCTTTGAGATTTATTCATCATCGCCGCGAGTTTATGAGGATCCTCCGCCATCCCCTGTTGCCTACGCTGGCGTAATTCTACAGAACAGCTCATCTTGGCTTCTTTTCTTTACCTTTACTTTCACATTGCATTTATACGTTTATCCCTGTAAAACAATGCAAAATTATCACAAGACGAATAAAACTGGTATCAATAGAAACCTTAATTTAGAGGAAGATAATAACAATTAGTGATACATTTATCTCTCTTTTTCTCCTGACAGTTGGAAAGCCTTGTAATTACCAGGTGGAAAAAGAAAACTTTCATGCGTCCACAAGCTTGTTTTATAAGAGTTGTATAAGAAGGCAGCAAAGAATGCACGAGCGCGAGGCCAAACTCACGTAAGCAGGTGTCAAATCAGCGATAAGCGAGGCTTGTAATTTTTTTCTCAACGTCACACTGACAAGACACCTAACCTAACCGGCTGGTTGCGGCCTCGGCCACAGCCGACGTTGATTCCGCATCACATCGCTCTCTTGCTAATAACTGAGCTTCGATTGTATCAGTCCTCACGATTTCCGTGCACCTTCCAGCAACAAAGAAATATCACTTGCTTGTTAACCGTGAAACGAAGCAAATCCGCGCTCCACCGCACGTCGTAACAATGCGTCTGGCCGCGTCCACCAGCCGCCTACATCTTCCTTGAGCCCGTTGTGGTACTTGGGGCGCTAGTGATAATGGCAAAATGGACAATAACAACATTAATAATACAGGTGCGTCAGTGTTATCATGTCTGATAACATTCACATATATCGGCACAATATACCTCTCTATCTCTCCTAGCTCTTTCTCCCTCGCCGTTTTATTTTCCATTATTTCGAATTATCAACGTATTTGGCGCGCACTACGTTGCACTTGCACTGCGTAAGTGCGTACGACTAATCGCAGTGCAACCGATCTCTTCTGATTCCGCGCAATCTCACGGATCGGTCGCGTTCAGCAGACTCAGTAGGTGCGTTCGGCAATGTAAAATTGAAATGCGAGCTTAGCAGATGGAGAGCGCTTGATCACGTGATCTTTGAGCAATCCGAGTGCCAAGAGTTAATTCCGAACGTTACAGAGTTGTAAACTGTCTTTTAAGGTTAGATTATAAAATGGAAATTGTTCATTTTTATGAATAAATAAAAAATTTCTCTTTCGCTTTACAAGAAACTGATAATAGTCTTATATACTAAAAATAGATCGTTACATATAAATGTAGAAGACTCATATGCAAGGTGTGTTTTCTTAAAAGAAAATACTACATTGCAAAATAAATTTCAGCAATTTATAAGTTATATCGTTTTGATTTATATTCGTTAGAGTCTAATGTATTAATGCAGTTTGATTTTATTTCATTCTATATGTGCAATATATATACATAAGCTTTGATCTAAAAAATAAACTAGCAAATTCTTTGTTTTCAAATACGTAACTTCAAATTCGTAAAGAGGAAAAGAATTCAAAACTTATTTTCCTCGTTAAATATATTGTACATAATGTACTCCATCATTCTATTTGATAGCATTTGTTTGAGCGTTTATAGACTCAGGCATTATAACAGTTCAAATACACTATTTGTAAAATAAAAGTATTAAAAGAGATGAATGTATGTACGTTATGTGTTAACGAATCAGTTGGATATATTATCATAAATATACAGGTTATGAATTTAATTTAGGCGCGAAAATCTGCATTAGCTTTGCGAGCTCGACCTTTGAATCCGGATCTTTGGATCGAGCAGCTCGATTGGCTCTAGAAATGTTAATACCAAACGCAAGTGAGATCCCAGCAAACGAGAATGGATAAAAACGGATCGACATTTTTTTTCTATCCGAACGCGTATTTTAAATAGCGAATACTCTTTTTTTTGGATTTAATTGGATTCAATTAGATT